GCGATACTGGCTGAAACAGGCCAAGTGTCAACTGGGTCTTGCGAGAAACCTAAAAACGGAAATCAAAACCCAGGCGATACTAGCCGTTGAGCGCCTCTACCAGTTGGTGAAGGAGTCCGAACACCAGAGTCTCCCTGAGGGCGCAGAGGTTGCAGCTTTAACGGCTCCGGTACAGAAAAATATCGACGGAAAAAAGGACGCACTCATTATAAAAATGGCGGAGCACGGTGAGCTGCTCAAAGCAGCCACTGTGCAAATGGGTGAACTCAAGGCAGCTATAAATGATCAGCGGAGGATGGAAACGGCGCCCGTCGACGAGGGACACAACGGTCAGAACACAGAGCTCCTTGCAGAGATGCAAGAACTCAAGTCAGCGACCCGGGAGATCGGAAAACAGGTCTCCGAGATGAGAGCGGAAGCGCCCTCTTATGCGGAGGTCCTGTCGAAACCGAAGAGTGTAGGGCGGGTCGTGAGACCAAAGCACTCAATCGTTGTGTCCTCCGGCGACGCAACGGAAACTAGTGGCGACGTTGTGGGTCGAGTCCGGCAGGCGTTGAACGCGAAGGTGAGCGGCCTTCAGGTGGAACAAGTCCGAAAAATCAAGGACCAGAGGGTGGTTCTGAGCTGCGGCAGCAAAGAGGAATTGAAGAAGATGACCGAGCAGCTCAGGGCCGACGGGCAGTTGCGGTTGGAGAACGCACGTCAGCGTAATCCGCTCGTAATTGTCCATGACCTTCTGGCCTACAATACCGATGAGGATATTAAGGCTGCTCTAAAGACACAGAACGCCCTGCTGGAGGGTCTATCAGCCGAGGAGTCAGCCATGACAATCAAGTACCGGAGGAAGGCGCGGAACTCTCTCGAGAACCACGTCGTCCTCCAGGTCTCGCCGCGGCTGTGGGAGAGGCTGACTTCGGCTGGTAGAATCTATGTCGATTTACAGCACGTGAAGGTATTCGATCAGACTCCGCTGGTCCAGTGTAGTCGGTGTCTGGCCTACGGACATGGGCGAAAAAGCTGCACGGAAAAAGTGGACCTGTGTAACCACTGCGGGGGGCCCCACCTCCAGGCAGATTGCCCTGGGTCCGCTGAGGGGGGGAAGCCTACCTGCATCAACTGCAGCAGGGATGAACAACCAGACACAGGCCACTCAATTTTCGCCCAAGACTGTCCTGTCCGTAGGAAGTGGGACGCTTTGGCCCGAGCGGCCGTTAGGTATTGCTAAGGTGGCATCGGGCGTCCCACAGGCTGACAACAATACAGGCATCGACACACCGATAGATAGTTCCCCATATGGGGAGGTCAGTGCAGATTTGCAGGAGTCCGGCGGCGGCGAGGATGTGATCATCGGGATCGCCAGCCAGATGGTGTGCAGGGTGCCAAGACAATGGAAATATAACTCGGACCATTGCGGCAAGAAGCCAAATACATCAAATTCTGTCCATCTTCATCAGAAATGGTACAAATTTAAAAATGAGCCGAATACTTTGCCGTGGTGGTTCGAAAGCCAAAAAGTGCATCTATTGCAAGCCTACACCACAGGCTGTGCTGAGGCCCTCACCCGGTGTTGTAATGTGGAGCTGTCGCCGTGGGCGGGCACCTGCAGAAAAAAGGGCAATGGCACAGTAAGGCGTGGTCAGTGGCCAAACAAATGGGACCAAGACGATGTCCTTCACTTGGCACGCACAGGTCTTGGCAGCTCAGACCATTACGTCGAAAGTCCTAGAAGGCCACGCAAACGTCTCTATAAGACATGTTACACATGGTGGAGCGTTTGCGTGAAAAAGGTACGACAAATACGGAGAGCACCAAAACCCAATGCAGCGAGACAAGTGAAGGGCAGAAAAACTTAGGCGCTAGGTACTTATATTGGTAAATATTATGACATTAGCGTCAAACCATTATATATGTAATTATGTTTAAGTAATATCTATAACTATCTATCTATACCAATATATATATATATATATACTTATTTATCTTAAACTTTTAAAAATGGTTCCCAACAAAACTGTCAAATAATAGTTCGCTACAAAAAGGTCTCTGATCACGTCAGAGGAGCACTTTGGCACAGCAGGAGGGTTTTTAGCCGGTAAGAGTCCGGCAGTACTCACACCTCCCTACTAGTGGGGAGGTGTGAGTCTCCATGAGGATTTCTTCCTGCTGTTTATAAAAAAAAAAAAAAAAAAAAACCTAACCTAACCTAACCTAACCTAAAAAAAAAAAAAAAAAAAAACCTAACCTAACCAACTGTTACTGTTGTACAATGACGTACATAGCACGTATAGTCGACGCAGCAATATTGAATGCGCGTCACCCAATGCATAGCATAAATAATTAAACGTATTACAGTAATCGTCAGTAATATCAAAAAAGCTCCTAATAAAATCTCCTTTAAACACCAAGTTCATGAATTTTACTTAAAATCGCTGCAACGCTAGGTCTAGGTCTTCGTTGATATATATTTATGTATGTATTTATACCTATATATTTTATGCATATGACTATATTATATACTATTTACTATTATGTAATATATATGTATAGCTATATTATTTAATAATTACCTACCTTTTTATTTTTTTTCCTCTCTCTCTCTTTGCTATTAGTTTATTCTCCGTACCTTATTTTTCGCAGATTTTCTATTTAAACCCTAAGGTTGACTGGTAGAGAATGCCATATGGCATTAAGTCCGCCTTATGTGCCATATTAAAATTGTGTACATTAAAGACTAAATAATAAATAAATAAATAATCGTAGTAGTAGTACTTTATCTACCAACCAACGTCAAGGAAAGAAACACGACAACTTAATTTGTAACTTTTACCAAACTTAATATACGCAAGTAGCAACTATAACTTGTGATCTTTTCTGCGAGCTACTACACCTTCTACAACTACAATACTAGAGGTATACAGTGTAAGGATCTCACTGGACCTTACAACTATATTCTAAAAGGTTCATGTATCATGAACTTTTGATGAACATCATGTAGAGTCATAACACGTATTGCTTTAGGTACTTATTACTTTTTATTGCAATCCTGACAATGAATAGATAGTAATCTAATCTAATTTAACAATATTTTAAACTTCGTAATTTAAGTTCTAAATAATGAAAACACATAGGTAGCTAAGTAAGTACTTAGGTATGATTCAAGCGCTCAGCTGTTATCGGCCTGATTTTAGGTAAAACCGCATTGTAGGTAAGTTCAGTTCAAAGTTTCGTTCGTGTATTCAATCGGTTGAATTAAATTGTTCTTTCCTAATTATCAATTCATATTCAGCGTACCTACCTACAGTAGTTATCAGCTGATGGGCTGATCAGCTGACTCGTCATTCGTAATCGTAATACTAAATGCGTATCCTGCTGAATAAGTACAAACAATCTAAAACTTACTGTTGTACATAAAGGCGGAATGTACAAGTAAATAAATTACACATCTAGGTACCTGTGTCACTCGGAGATTTCATTCAGTCTTCTTCTTCGCAATTTTCCTAGGCACAGAAACACAGTTATGCACTACGTCACTGATTGCACTATGTATGGAACACCGCGGCACTTGTTTTTAATATGTTTCAAGCACTGATCACTTGCAGTCTCTGGGCAACAGCCAGCAGGCACGACTGTCACGTCATCACTTTGTTGGAAGTTTAGGTACGATGCGAATAGCTCGTTATTGGTTGTTTTCGCCGCGAAGAACTTAACGGGTAACCGGGGCTCCGGCTCGAAGTGCAGGAGAAGGAACGGGGTGGTTTTTAGTCAGTAAGAGTATATATAAAGAATAAGACATTCGATGATTTTCCCGCCAAAAAAAATTGATTGTTTTCACTGTAACTGGTGGCATAAAGATAACTATCTCGACTATTTTTCTGTTATTATTAACACATAAACACTGAACTACGAACTTTGATAATAATCAGTGACACGAAGTTCAAGTCCATGCGAAATAATTTCGCTAACAACATCCCCCGGCAGTGCCAAAGCACAAACTGAATGCGTGTTGCGTGTGCGCCGTAGGGGTGAGAGTACCTACTAGGGGGTGGAGCCGACGGAGGGTTCGTGTTTCTTATTGGAATTTTAGGGAATTAGGAATAATATCCATTACGTGTTTTTGAGTCTGTGTCATTGTGTGTTGAGCCGCGTTATAAAGCTAGTTACAAGACGGCGGCGTGTAGTTCGCACTTACGGATTTCCGTAATTTACAGAAAAATTAAAAAAAATAGTTACCTACAATTTTTTTCTTCCTTGAAAAGCTTTTTTCCAAAATGCCTTTACACCTTGTGTATTATACACAAGGTATCCTATACCTATGAATGTAAACATCATCTATCCTATATATCTATACAAAGTCCCGTCAGACGAGCACTTCGGTACAGCAGGAGTAGGCTCTATGTAAGAGTCCGGCAGTACTCCCACTTCCCTGTACGTGGGGGTGGTGTGAGTACGTGAGGATTTCTCCTACTGCTATAAAAAAAGAATTCTTGAAGAATTTCACGTACACCATTATATCCTGCGTTCCCGCGGTGGATAGTAGCGGGTCAACCCTCGAACCCTACTCTAGCACCTGGACCTGGTGTCTCCTGCAGCGGCCAGTGACGTCAGGAGAGAGCTAAACCAGAGAAGATTTAATCAAAGTCAAAGTCAAAGTCAAAACATTTATTTCAATTAAACCATAGTTTGGTACTTTTGAAACGTCAATCGCTGTATATGTCCTAACCCAAATCTTTTTAACGGAGCTAATTAACTAAATCTATAATAAATGTTCCCGTTTTACTGCCTAGTGCCTACATACATTTATCTAGAAATACCTCTGCCTAGGTTAGGTAGATATAAGTAGCGTAGCTGTAACCGCAGGTAGTACCGGGACATCGCTCCGTGGCGTGTACTTGTAGCGTCCTCAACGACTAGTGAGCGACCTCCACTACTTTATACTCGTACGATAGAGGGGAAATAACAACAAGTGGCTCGCTGTAACACATTTATTGAACAATATTTACATACAACTGTACACACACACACACACACACAGATATATACAGATAGTACTCGTTGAGTGTAGGCGGGCGTGCAGTGGTTGCGCGGCTCGTCTAGCTGGGTGTGTGGGGCCGGTAGTTGTCGGTGTTGATGTCGTTGAGTCCGAGCTCCTCGTTCTGCTCGAAGCTGCGCTCGTAGCGCGTGACCTTCAGACCTGACACACACAATACACATACATTAGACGTAAACTGCTATTGAAAACGATTCAACTGCTATTAAACTTGATTGCTAGGTGATTTATCTGCTCGTTTACTACGGATTTATCCCATTAAAAATTAATAATGATTTACTAGTGTCAAACCATTGGACGTTCAATATTTTACAACTAAACAAAATATCTCTGTATTAGCGCCATCTACCGACGAAAATAACGGTAGCCCCCAAGAACCATTAGTAACCAGCAATGTATCAAAGTGGAAGCATTTATTTCTATGAAGACGTCATTAGTGAGTGTTGTCCGTCAGTCCGTCAGTGAAGTTAGTGCATGTAACATGTCTCACCGTCGTCGGGCGCGGTGGGGTCGTCGGCCAGGCTCTGCACGTAAGAGTTTCCGGCGGGGTCGTCCAGCACCAGCGTGACCGGCAGGTCGCCGCGGCCGGCGCGCGCCAGCGCGTCCAGCACGGGGCGCAGCGCGGGCGCCACGCCGGGCGCATCGCCCAGCGCGCCCGGCGTGTCGGCCAGCTGCGCGCGGGTCGCCGCCAGCAGGCCCTCGGCCGTGGTGAACGGCCGCCCAGCGCGCGCCCGCCCACGCTCAGCTCCAGCTCCGGGATCTCCATGCTGCACGTCTCCGACTGCAATACAGGGACAACTCTACCTGTTAACGTTGTTTGGAAGACACCACCTTTCACCAAATCATTCAATATCTCCTCCTACCCGAGTGAGGCGAGGGGGAGTTCCTACTCCTGCTTCGAGCCAGAGTCCCGACAACTCATTAAAACCACCGCAGCAAGAGACGACCGAGACTAACTGCTCGAAAACTATCGATCTCTAACGAAAACTATCGATTGTCTTCAAAATCGATCGAACTACCTAGAAATCTATCGAGCATCATCAGAAAGTTTTAAGCGTGATGGTTCGAAATCTATCGAGCGACTAATACCCCAGAGATGATAAAGAACAAAAAAAATTAAGGGATGAATAAAATGAGTTGTAACTCACATCGGGCGCTTACTGGAGCAGGACTGGAAATCTTTATCCCCAGAGAGGAATATCAATATAAAATTCTACAGGAAGCCATCTGTCCCTTGTAATAACCAAGATAACAAATAAAGATCAAACTACAGCTTACAGACAGGTACGCAGGTTCGATTACATCAGTGACAACTAGCTGTAATATAATATAATATAATATAGAGTTCGTACCTTGAGTATATCGCGCGAAAAGTCCTCTTTGGTCGCGACCCGGACCTCGAACCGCACTCCCTTCTCCTCGATACCACCGCCTGACTTCACCTACACATACAACACTTGTGAGTGAGTGAGAGTGAGTGCGTAAGTGAGTGAGTGAGAGTGAGTAGTGCGTGAGTGATCATGAGTAAGTGAAAAATGAATGAGTTAGTCTGCTCTGAGACAGTGATTACAATTAAGAGTTAAGTTAGTGAATAGATAGTGAGTCACTACAGAGGGCTTGTGCAAGAAAAGAAATTTTCACATGTCCATTTTTAATAATAATTCGACTTCAACCCCTTTTTTTGAAGTCGGTTAATTAATATACTAAAATCTTCTTCCAAGTGTAACAAACACGTTTCTGCAAACCGCATAGACAAACGGTTCAGCCAATCCTAAGATAATCTCGTACATACATACATACAAGCCAAACTTAGAACCTTCTTTCTTTTGAAGTCGGTTAAAAAATAAGTGATTAATTGAGTTGTATCGCTGAGGAAGTGAGTTACGAAAGTTAGTCAATAGTGAGTGGGTGAGTGAGTGAGTGAGTGAGTGAGTGAGAAAGTGAGTGAGTGAGTGAGTAATGAGTGGGTGTATTACCTCGTTGGTCCGGTGTCCGCAGTAGTCACACATGGTGCTCATGATGACCACTTCCTTGAAGTGAGGGATATCTGGAACGGAATTCAATATTGTTATACACATCACATCAACAGCCTACATAGCATATACACTAGACCTCCGGCTAATAAATTCATTCGTTCTACGACAACAAGTTGTTTCACTAATAACAACAAGATCTCCAAACATACAACCCTGTCCTATACAAAAACAGTCAGTCGCATTCCATCCATAATCCCGTGCACTCGTGGGTCACACTCGAAATTATAATACCCTTTAATTTGTGAAGTTAAATAAAAGTTATTTTATTCTTCGAACTGTAGTGTTTCCTTTAAGAAGAGAACTTATCATATCAAAATTCGAATGACTGCTCCCGCTTGGGTGAGGCGGGAGGGAGTGTCAGACTTTTACTGAATAAAAACCACCCCGTTCCTTCTCCTGCACGTCGAGCCGGAGCCCCGGTAACCCGTTAGGTTCTAGCTTGTTTAATTCACATGATAAATAATTATTCAATTGCATTATATATTGAAAATATATAACAGTGGCGACGAGGATATTCAATATTACGCATTAAAAATGTCTGTAGCGACCTATAGCGTTTTATCGACGTTTGACTTGTAAATGACCAAAACCCAACACGAAATCAAAGTAACGAAATCATAAAATTGATATTGATTAATTAGTTCACTTTTTGTAACTAGATGGCGTTGCCGCGATTAAAATCAAGCTATGGTTTCGTTACAACGACTTACTTAAGACAGATGTTTTTTTTGTATGTATTGAGGTCAACCAGAACAAATATATTACGAACCAGCAGTTCAAGCACTAATACGAAGTTTTAATTAAACCCTGTTAGTAGCTACAATAGGCCACGTTACTTCGGTAATTAACATTGGTCCTTCGACCCTGGATCAGACGCAGTACTGTCTGAATTTTTGAGTTCAACCGTGCCAGTGGCACAAGCTCGAGTATTCGCAGTGGATCGCTGCAGCAAGAATACTGAGCACCCCGCAGAAGCATCGCCCAGCAACTGCCAGCAAGTTGGCGAGCTCAGTTGCTGTGGAGTATAGTTCATCAAGTGGCCACAGAGGGCGCCACATGAATCAACGCAGTCCATTCTTCGAGAGGTCGTCGTCAAAGAAACTGTTGCAGTGACAGCAGCCTATATTTGAAGTTCCGAGCGACGCCGCAGAGGGCGCCACTTGTACCATCCACGCCGAGTGACGTCGCAGAGGGCGCGACCTGCACCATCCGTGTTCAGTGAGTGAAGTTAAATATTGTGAGTACTATATTTCATAAATAGTTAAAGTGACTAACGCAGAACAATCTTTGCCAAGCCAAATTGAACTTTATATCAAAGATTAATTTAACTTAACACTTTAGTGTATATTTAAGACTAGTATGTGCATGTTAGTTAAGGACTTAGAATAATTTCAATAAAAACGGGGGAACGGGGAACCTATGCCCGAAATCCACCTGAATTTAAATCCAAAACACTTGTAAAATTTAGTGATTTATTTAGGACTTAGAAAAATTTCGTTGGTTTTGGACATATAAAATTTTTGTTTGTTATGATTTGTGTACATGCAGTTTGATTAACTTTTAAATCAAATTATTTATTGTTGTTAGACATTATTTACAAACTTCTATCAATTTACTTGTGTAACGGTTTATTCTTACTAGTCTTATTTTATTTGTTACGTAAAAATGGAAGGTCAAATAAACGTTATGAAGGATCTTCAGAGTGTGATGACAAGGGCATTCACTAATTATAAGAAGAGTCCTAAAGATAGATTAACGGTTGAATACATAGAAACAAAACTCGAATTATTAGAAAAGGATTGGTCATCATTCAAGGATACCAAATCTCAACTTTATAAAACCTATAAATTAGAAGATATCAGTCAAAAGTTGTGGATATGTACGACACTACTGAAGATACCTACATAACATATAAATGTGCTATGAAATCAACTTTAAATAAATTAAACGTAAGAGAACCTATAGCACAACAGGGTAGCGAATCAAACACAATGTCCAAAGCAACAAGTTCATTGGTTAAACTGCCAAAAATCTCAATTCCTACCTTTTCGGGGAAATATAGTGAATGGACTACCTTTTACGATTTGTTTACCTCTTTAGTTCATAATAATCCTTCCTTAGATAATGTACAAAAGCTGCATTATCTGAAAGGACATCTTACTGGTGAAGCTGAACAATTAATTAGGCATACACCTATCACAGATGCTAATTATAGTCAATGTTGGTCGCAACTGGAAAGGCGTTATGCTAATAAAAAGTATCTCACTAATTGCATTTTGAAAAGGCTATTCGGTCAAAAACGGTTACTCGTAGAATCAGCGTCAGGTTTAAAAGAGTTGTTGGACACAACAACAGATTGTTTGAGTGCTTTGACAAACTTAAAAATTAACGTTACCACTTGGGATGTCATTGTGATTCATATTGTAACTTTTAAACTTGATAACGAAACACGTAAACAGTGGGAACTTAGCATTTCAAATGACTCTAGTAACGAGTTGCCCACCTTTGAGCAATTTAAGAAATTCGTAGAAAGTCGGTTCCGTGCATTAGAGTTTTTAGAGCCAAAGAAAGCTCACCAGGGCAGTAATATTTCACACGCTCATAGTCCAAAGGTAATGTTAACGACAAAGACATCCAACATGCTTTGCGAGTATTGCTCTGAGTCGCACAAGCTTTGCTTCTGTAAGAAATTCGCGAAACAATCAGTAGATAATAGACGGGAATTTGTTGCAAAACATAAAATCTGTTTTAATTGTTTGGGCAGCAACCATACAATGTACGATTGCAAAAAGCAAATGTCGTGTAGAATTTGCAAAAAAAGGCATCATTCCTTGTTACATCTCAACAGAGAAAATGATAGCCAAGTTCAAAGTACTGCAACTAAGTCTGCTGTCGATAGTAATTCAACTAACGATAGTCAGATAGTTGCTTGTTTATCCACTGGCAAAATCTCGAAGCCTAGACAAGTTTTGTTGGCTACTGCGCTAATCAAAGCAGAGTCCAAGACGGGTCAGTTTATAACCGTCCGTGCCTTACTTGATCAGGGGTCTCAGGCTTGTTTTATTACTGAGGCTACGACACAATTGCTAAAACTGAAAAAGATTCCTGTTCGTGGTGTTATTACTGGCCTAGGAAAAAATAGTTCAACTACAAAGTATATGGTCACTCTTACAATTAAATCTAAAATAGATGACAATTTCCAATTACAAATTAACGCATACGTATTAACTAAGATCACGTCATACTTACCCGAAAGGAGCACAGATATAAGCACATTTGAGTGGATCGATACCCATGGCTTATCTTTAGCAGATCCGGATTTCAATACTCCCAACAGAATTGATATTCTATTGGGAGCGGATGTCTACGGTTCCATTGTTAAGGAAGGCATCGTGAAAAGTCCAACTGGTACTCTCATCGCTCAGAGCACTGCTTTAGGATGGATCCTTTCTGGGTTAGTAGTCAGTTTAAACGATAAAGAAATGCAGCATCTTCCTAAAAATATAAGTGTCAATTGTGCACATTTTAACGAGGACAATCTTCTAAGAAAATTTTGGGAGATCGAAGAGCAGTGCAAAGAATCAAGTTCAAAAAAAATCTTAAGTCCTGAGGAGCAAAGGTGTGAAGAGCTGTATACCAAAACTACAGTAAGGGATGCTACTGGGAGATATATAGTACGCTTACCATTTCGCGATAGTGATCCTGCTTGCAAGGCTGGCGGTTCAAGATACATTGCTGAAATGAGACTCAAGTCATTAGAAAAAAGATTAATTAAAGACACATGTTTAAAAGACAAATACATAGAAGTAATAAACGAATACTTACAATTAGGACATCTTCGACCTGTAAAGGAAGGGGACGATAAAAAAGATCAAGCGGTATACTTACCACACCACGCCGTAGTAAGGAATGACAAGACAACTACGAAGGTTCGGGTGGTATTCAATGCCTCTGAAAAAAATAAAAAAGGTATTTCCCTGAATGATACGCTGATGGTCGGACCAACTCTACAAGCAGACCTAAGACATACTGTTTTAAGGTGGAGGACACACTCGATTGGTTTAGTGGCCGATATAATAAAGATGTATCGACAGGTTAGAATTGCTGACGAAGACGCCATGTTCCAAAGGATTCTTTGGCGGGACAGCCCTGATAAGCCAATCAGAGATTATGAGCTGGTCACTGTGACTTTTGGTACCGCTTCGGCTCCATATCAAGCGGTAAGAACTCTTCACCAAATCGCATATGATGAAAAGGACAATTATCCTTTAGCGGCAGACATAACATTGAATAGTTTTTATATGGATGATCTGATGACCGGGAGTGACAGTGTACAAGAAGGCATAGACATATTTAAACAGATAAATGTATTACTAAAAAAAGGAGGATTCATTCTGCAAAAATGGAATAGTAACAATCAGGAAATCATGAAAATAATAGATCAAATGAAGGAAACGGAAGGGGAAGTAGAACAAACAGATCCTATAAATAAAGAGAATAAGAATTTAGAAATAAAATTAGATAGTACAATAAAAATACTAGGTCTTACCTGGAACCGGAACGACGATAGCTTCCAATACACCGTAAATCTTCCTCCACTGACGACAGCACCGGTAACTAAAAGACAAGTTATATCGGACATAGCCAGATTGTTTGACCCTCTAGGCTGGTTAGCACCAAGTGTGGTGTTAGCGAAAACGTTCATCCAAAGGTTATGGCTTGCAGGTGTTACTTGGGATGAAGTATTAAATAAGGAACTAGTACAAGAGTGGAATACTTACCGTGAAGAGTTGTCACTGCTGACGAAGATTCGAATCCCTCGATGGCTTCGAAGTACGTCTAAGGATGAGTTGGAGCTTCATGGTTTCAGTGACGCTTCCAAAATCGCGTATTCAGCAGTTGTTTACTTGCGAGTACTAAATTCCGTAGATGGAGTACACGTTTCGTTGCTGGTAGCACGAACTAGAGTGGCTCCTGTCAAGCAGGTCAGTATACCACGTCTGGAACTGTGTGGAGCAGTCTTGTTATCACGATTATTGATTGAGGCAGCAGATGTTCTCAATATTTCTAGAGAACGAGTAAAAGCCTGGACTGATTCCACCGTTGTATTGTCGTGGCTAAACAGTCATCCTAGCAGGTGGAAAACATTTGTGGCTAATCGCACCTCGGAAATACTGACAACCATGAAGGCATCGCAGTG